TTCTACTAAATGATAAGTCGGCTGTATAAAAATTCGGTTAAATGAAATTTCGCTTAATAAAATTCTACTAAATAATAATTCGGCTGTATATAAATTTGGTTAAATAAAAATTCCCTCTAAATAAAAATTCAGTTTAATAAAAAATTCTGCAAAATGAAAATTCTGCTAAATATTACTTAGGCTGTATAAAAATTTGGTGAAATAAAAATCTCCACTCAATGAAAATTCAGTTAAATAAAATTTTAGCCAAATGAAAATTCTACTAAATAACAATAATTAAGCTACATTTAAATTTGATAAAATAAAAATTATCGTCAAATGAAAATTCTTCTAAATAATAATTTGTCTAAATAAAAATTCTGAATTAATTAATAATTTGTGGGAAAGAAAAAAATTTCTGTCTTTTTAAAATAAAGAAAAATTGTAATAAAAAAGGTAATTTTTGAATTAGGCTCGTTAATTGCGTTAGAAAATTGTTTCCATTTTTTTTTCTTTCTTTTTTTTTTTGGTCGAGACAACTATATGATTAGGAGAGGAAAATTGTAGGTTCGAGATTAACGTCGAGTTGAAAATGTTATACAAGATAGATGGAGACGAACCGAGGTTTTGCACACGCGATGGGCACCTGTAGCCCTTGTGGTGCACAAGAAAGAGAGAAAAAAAAAAAAGTGGGAAGAAAGGTGGGGGGGGGGGGTGGAAAAAAAATTTCACTGTCAGCCTCTGACGCTCATTCGCGTCACCTTTTCACCATTTTTCCATCTACAATTCTTACGGTTGCTTTCCATCTATCTCGCGTGTCTTTCTCGTTGGTGAACATTTCTCTCGCTTTCTCGCATTCTTCAACTCTCACTTGTCTGTCTACCATTTCGGAAGTTCGTGATGTTTGTTTTTGTCGGTGAAGAGGCCATTCTGACACACAATGTACAGTCAACCACACTAATGATCTAACTTTACCAAAAACCCTTTTTTTCAAATGGCAATTATAGCACTATCTTCAAAATATACCAATTGACTTTATTTTTTTTTTCATTATTATTATAGTAAAAAAATTTATTTCATTCAATTAATCGACTATTATCCAATTAATTTTTTTTTAAGCGCAATTATAATAATTAATAATTGTTATTGATTAATTAATTTCCAAACTGAATAAATTCGATACAATTTATTACAAATAATATAAATTACAAGTGTCCGAAATTAATTTTACCCAATTTCAAGCAATTAAGCTTGTAAAACAAAAAAAAATTTTTTTTTCTATTTATTATTATGAGAAATTTTAATTAAAAATTTCTTTTTACAAGGCTTTAAAATTAGGTTTTCTTTTTTGTGTATTTTAATGTTGCCGCATTTTTATAAGCTTGACAAAAAAAAAATATCTCGAAAAAAAGTACAAGGAATGTAGAAACACGAAAAATGTTTTTTTTTTCGAAATTAAATTTGTTTTTTTATAAGAAATTTAAAATTCTTTTGTCATAATTTTTTTTTTTCCATAAACATTTAATTATTTCATAATATAATTTTCAGAGAGTTTTGTTTCCATGTTTATTAAAAAAAAAAAAATGTTTTGATATTAAAAAAAATTTTTTCTAAATTATTCAAGAATTTTTTTTTTCGAAAATTGAAATAATTTTTTAATTTATCTAGTTGTACTCCCTCCTTCTATAGTCTAAAGTGCTTTTTGCATTACTTCAAGGCGTGTATTTTATGGTGTTCCTTTTTCTAAAGAAAAAGAGGAAAAAAAGAAAAAAAAAGAAGAAGAAGAAGAAGAGAAAATCGAGAAGCTCCAGTGGTTGCAACAAGAGACATGAGAATAAAGTTACGGTTTGCAAGAGACTGAGTGCTGGGTTCATGGTTTCTTACATACAGTGGTTCTCAATTCCCCTTCGACAATTTTATCCCCCTTTAGAAGATTTCCTTTTTTTTTTTACTATGAAATAAAAAAATTAAAAAATTAACCTTTTTTTTTCAAAACACAAATTGCTTTTAAATTGACTCGATCACTGCTTCTTATTCTTTCTTTTTTTTCTCTTCTTATTAGAAAAGTGATGGTTTCTCGGATTTCACTTCAATATTCTTTCGATTTCCTCGCGCAGATTTCGATTCCCGTATTTCATGTTCTTCTTTTTTTTTTTTTTTTTGCAACTATACACGAATGCGCGCTGTGTACTGCATACAGAGGGGGGAGGGATCATGTTTCCGGTCGGGTGTGTCTCGTTGGAAAAAGTATTTCTTTGCGGGGTATTTCTTTACGACAATTTTCAGGAAAATTGCTATATGGAATGTGTATATATGCATATATGCGTCTCTCTAGAATGTTAGTACATATTCTCTCTCTCTCTCTCTTTCTCTATGGTATGTTTTGTGGTATTACATTACACGTGCTGTTGCTGGCAACTATCAGTAGTCCCTCGTATATGAGTCTACTGTTAGCGTCGCACCTCTAATGCACATTTTCCACGTCGAAGTAAACTGCTGTATCACAAACGCAGTAAGACCATATATATATATATATATAATGGAAAACCACAATTCTCACATAAAAGCACATTATTTTGGAAACTGTGCTTTCAATATTATTATCCTACCGCGAGCGGAATAAGAAAAAATTATCATTTTTTTTATAACAAACACGATATGGAAAAGAAATAAACTAAATAATTTCATATTTAATTAAAGCTAAATACAACTAATTATTTTGAAATTAGACAATTTTCCATATTTAATTTTTTTCTGCTATTTAAATCGAAACTATCGTTTTTCTTGTTTTGATTTACAATTTTTAGTTAATGTTTATTTTACAAAAATTTTTCTATTTTTATATAACTGAATTTTCATTTTATTAGATTTCTTTTTTAATCCAATTTCCATTTAAATGGATTTCGATGTAACGGAATTTTCTGTTCGTAAAGTAACTAGGTAGCTTTATTTATTTTCTATTTTTAAAGAACTATATTAATAAACTTTATTTACGTGAAAAAAAAAAATTTGTGGCAGTTTTTATAAAAGAATTTATATTTTTCGTTTCTTTTATAATTATCGTATACACTGTGAATCGAAAGATATTAATTTAATACCGACTTTAGGTACTAAATTTGCATTTGGTTCTATTTTGATACCTAAAATTGGTACTATTTTAGTACCTTCTTTTTACAGTGTAGAAAGTTAGTTTTAGTATATTATGTATTCAGTAGTAAAAACCGATTTTAATCAGACGTTTTAAACTTTAATTTTAATATTCAGTGGGTAAAAATATTCAAAATTTAGTGCCAGTAGTAAAACATGGTTTTAGTCAGACAAATGCGTGTTTAATTTTCTAAATTTATTTCATCAGTAGTGAAAGATAGTTATAGTCAGACAAAAAAATTTAATTCTGCTTATTAACGTATATAAGCAGAAAACGGAATTTTTAGTCAGACAAAATATTTTCAATAATGTCATTTATTCAGTACAGTAAAGCCCGATTTTAGCCAGACAAAACAGTTCTTTATTTTTAAGTAGTAAAACCCAGTTTTAGTCAGACAACAAATTATTCATTATTTAAACTCTTTTTGTCAGTAGCGAAAGATAATTTAAGTCAGACAAAATGTCTACTTCACTGAGAATTTTCCAATTCAGTAGTAAAAATCGATTTTAGTCAGACGTATGATTTGTAACTTTGATAATTAGTAGTAAACACTACTTCTAGTCAGACAGAAAATTTTTCCGAATTATTATTTAAAATTTTCAAAATTTAATATTAAATTTTTCATTGGTAAAAGAAAATTTTAGTCTTGTCATAAGCAGAAAATACTTGTAATTTAAAAATTAGTAGAAAAAGTAAATTTTAGTCAGACAAAGATAATTCTAAAATCTTCAAAATTTTTTCATTAGTAGAAAAAAGTAGTTCCAATTAGACATAAACACTATCGGTAAAAACGTATTAGTAAATTTTAGCGCAAGTAGTAAAACCCAGTTTTAGTCAGACAACAAATTATTCATTATTTAAACTCTTTTTGTCAGTAGCGAAAGATAATTTAAGTCAGACAAAATGTCTACTTCACTGAGAATTTTTCAATTCAGTAGTAAAAATCGATTTTAGTCAGACGTATGATTTGTAACTTTGATAATTAGTAGTAAACACTACTTCTAGTCAGACAGAAAATTTTTCCGAATTATTATTTAAAATTTTCAAATTTTAATATTAAATTTTTCATTGGTAAAAGAAAATTTTAGTCTTCTCATAAGCAAAAAATGCTTGTAATTTAAAAATTAGTAGAAAAAGTAAATTTTAGCCAGACAAAGATAATTCTAAAATCTGCAAAATTTCTTCATTAGTAGAAAAAGGTAGTTTCAATTAGACATAAACACTATCGGTAAAAATGTTTTAGTAAATTTTAGCCTAAGTAGTAAAAACAGTTTTAGTCAGACAATAAATTTAATAGTAAATTGCAATAGTTAGTTGGATATTTTTTTAAAAGGAAAAATTTTTTTAAAATGAAAAGTTTTTTTCAGAATGTTTTAATATTGTAGTAAAAATTTTTTTTCGTCTCCTAGTTCGCAAAGTACTTTTTCTATAGATATATATATATCTGTTTTAAAGGGATATAAAGTCAGTGTGAGAACATTTAACAAGATCCGACTCATAGAGAGGGGTATATTTGACGATGCAGGTGTGCACTCGGTAATGCGAGATGGATACGGGCTATGTTCTCATATATCATACGACCACTCGATCAATGCTCTATCGCAAGTTGACAGTGACTTACGCACTTGTACGCTATCTCATTGATACGGGGGAATAACACACATTTCTTGTATCACCAAAAATTAAACGATGGTATATAGTAATTAAAAAAAAAAAAAAATTTTTTTTAAATTTTTTTTCAAATTTTGAAAATATTCAAAAAATTTTTTTTTTGAAATTTTGAAAAAAAAAATTTTTAAAATAGTAATCTGTGATGCATTTTTTTTTCTCCAATTACTATGTAAATAATTTATTTATTCAAGATATTACTTACCGGATTCAAGAACAGTGTAGCGTGGATTTGACGTGTCGATTGGCACAGAATTTCTCACCCAAGATATTATAGGCGATGGTGATCCAATTGCCGAACAAGATAACAATGCATTGTGTCCCATTTCGACTACTTTGGTAGTAGGCGCCTGTGTGATCATCGGAAATCCATTTGGTAAACTTTCAGCTGAAACATAAATTATTCACAATCGTTAAATTATTATTATTATTATTATTATTATTATTATTATTATTAAAATTACTATTACTACTATTATTATTATTAATGTAATTCCCATGTAATAGTATTTGAATAAAAAGTAAAAAAAATTATTTTTATTATTATAATATTATAATTCTCAATAATATTGGATTTCAATAAATTTTTGAAATAGAAAAAAAATTTTATTCTAGAATTCAAAATTTAATTCTTCAAATCAATCATTGTCATCTACAGAATCTTTATTTATACAATATTAATATTTAATATTAATTTTTTTTTGATAAGATAGTATAGCTATATGAATTTTTTTTTTTTTTATCAATTATTCAGAAAATCTGTAGAATTTATACACTGTATTTTTAAATATCAGATTATTATTTTTTCTTTCTTTTTCTTTTTTTCTTTTTTTAAAGGAAGTTATTATATTTTTATCGTTCTGCACGACAGTATATATTTAGAAATAGTAAAAAAAGAATTCCTAGTTTTTATTTATTATTCATTTATTGTACCATAGTTATATTTAAATTCCATCATAAAAGTTACAATTCAAAATTTAAAAAACTAAAATTTATTGATGTAAAAAATTATTTTAAAACAGTAATTTTTTTTTTTTTTTTTTTGGTAAATCAGAATTTTAATTGACGCTTTATTTTATTATTCATGTACTGCAGATGTTTTTTTTAAAAGATCAATATAGTCTGTGAAAAGTGGAAATGGATATTTTGGCTGAGCTTCTCCAATTGTCGATTTTTTATATATATATATATATTTCACAACCCTTGGGGTAAACAACACACGGGCGAAAAATCCCGTTTCGTGGACAATCCTTTGGGACTTTAAAAGTTACGGAAACCCATTGGAACTGTCCGTTCTCCATTAACTCAGGTCGAGAAAACAGAGACGCTCGAGGACAGTTCGTACTGATATGGATAGATGCGTCTATCGAATCGATCTTCACATTTCGAATTTGAATCAGAATTCAATATCACAGGCACGAAACTTTCAGCAAAAAAAAAAAAAAAAAAAAAAAAAGACTTTGGGAATATAAGAAAATAAGAAGCTGAAGCAAAACAAGAAAAAAGAGGAGGAACAAAAAAACACAAAAACTTTACATTCAAAAAGAATAATAAAGATAACAAATTTTTCCCAGGGTGATAAATCATTAAAAAAAAAATTATTTTACATACACAGAAAATTAAAAGGCATTAAAATAAGCTGCAACGCTTATTATTTTAATCCAATTTTGCTTATTTTAATACCAAAATGCAAAAAAAAAAATAATTTTCCGTGTAACAGTAGTAAAAACGTGTTTTAGTCAGACAGAATTTTTTTTTTTGCTTTTAATTTCAAATCAGTAGAAAAGACAGTTTTAGTCAGACAAAAAATATTTTTTTTATCATAATTATATATTATTTATTAGTTTATTTTAATTAGAAATAGTAAATAAATAATAGTGGTAAAAACAGTTTGCAGTCAGACAAAACGTTTGCAAAAAATAGTTGCAGTAGTAAAAGGGTGTTTTAGTCAGACGTAAACTGAAAATTTAATTTAAGAAATATATTTGCAGTGAGTAGTAAGATATTTTTTTAAATTTTAATTATAGTAAATGTCAGTTTTAGAAATGTAAAATTTTTCCAAATTTTTTGTCATTTGAAAAAAAAATAAACTGATAAGAAATTCCTTAGAGAAAAAAAGAAGAGAGAGAGAGGGAGAGAGAGAGAGAGAGAGTTGAGTAAAATTTGAATTCGATGATACGAAGCAAGTATATATAGGGAGTATATATTGAAAGCGTGACTCGAAAGGTTCGAGACACGATTTAGGCGTCTTTTGTGAAAGTTTGCCTGCTTATTCTTCTATTAGAATCACTAAACTCGAGTTTCCAAACTAGAATGAAATATGTATTTTACAATTCATGATTTCTCTCTCACATTTTGATTTATATTAACTCCTCAAATATAAATTATATATACAAGCGAATAACTTCAATTGAAAACAGTAATTGTATTAATTTTCATAATAGAATTTTTAATTTTTAGACAAATCGAACATGAAATGTAACAATGAAATTTTACTGTACTTGTCGGTATGTTTTTCGAAAGCTTTTACTTTTACTATATATATATATATATATATATATATATATATATATATCGAGAAAGCGAGAGAGAGAGAGAGAAAATGAAATTGTTCCGAATATTTGACATAGAAATAATAACAATAGAACTATTGTTAAAAGCCATAAAGAATTTTCCTGTTTTCAATGATGAAGCAATTTATTTTCCCCTGTAGATAGTAATTTAAATTACATAATACCTTTCATATATGCTTTTTCACTAATTTATAAAATAATACCGCAATGAACAATACATATATGAAATAATTTAAAAGTCATTAATATTGTAAAATAATTATGTATGTACAATTTATAATATATAAATATATATATATATATATATTTATATAGAAACAATGTGACATTAAAAACAAAAGCAATTACCAGAAAACAGATTACATTAGTAACAAAAATGTCATGAGTAACATTTTATCGAAAGTTTTCTGTTATTATATATTAAAATTTTTTTTCAAATAATTAATGATTGTTATTATATTGAAAAAAAAAACATTTTTTTATGAAAAAAAAAAATTTGTTTCTCCCACAATAAAAATGAAATTTTTCTCAATTTCGATATTATACATTTCGTTACGACAAAAAAAGGGAAAATTTTTCTTGAAATCTTTGATGTGGTTTGTCAGTAAATTTTGAAAAAAAAGGAAAGCGTGACTCGAATGAAAAAACAGTCAAAATTGACGTAACAACTGTTTCCTGCATTAGAAAAAAATGTATCAAATGTTACTATATCTATTTGATTATTTCTAACTCAAGTCACGTTTTTTTCTTTTTCAAAGATATTGCGCCTTTTCTATCCAAAAATAAAATGAAGAATATTACATAAAATACATTTCTGCATCCGTTCACTAATGAAAAAATCATTTTTTTTCTCTTCATTTACGCAAAAAGAAAATAATTCTAAAAATTCTATTGTTATTTACCCTACTGTTAATATTTATTATTTAAAATCTAAATAAATAATAAATTTCAGAAAACAACTAAAAAAAGAAGATATATTTTTTTTTTAATTACAATTTCAAAAAGAAAAGATCGTTGCAAAGACATTTGCAAGTGACACATTTTTTTTTTGTAGAAAAAAAAGATCATTAAAAATTGTCTTCGACGGCAATTATATATATATATACAGATAAAAAAAAATAAAAAAAGATAGTTTCATCTGATGGCACGTATTTCTGGTTATCCTTTGTTTTCGTTTTCCGAGTGAGCGTCAAAGGCCGTTTCTTTTGTGCTCGTTATCGTTTTGGTTATCGCACGTTATCCGCAGGGCGACGCCAATTATATCAGCGAATGCCGCGTGCCGACAATAGAAATCGCCCGCAGACCTTCTCAGTTCACCCCCTTATCGTCGCCGAACCGCCAAACAATACAGGCTTGAATTCGCCCGTGAAACTATTGTCCAATAAAATGTCGGTATAGTCGCTTCCTATCTCTTTCTCTCTCTCTCTCTTACTCGTTTCAATGGGACAACGCTTGTAAGACGTCGTATAACCACGATCAGAAGAAATTTGTCTTTCTCGCAATTTTCTCTCTTCTTTTCTCTTAAGTTCATTTTCTTTCGTATTTTTATTTAAAAAAAAAATCCTATCTTCGTTTATTCTTAATCTTGCTGTCTTGTCTTTTTTTCATTTCTCTTTCTCTCGATTTGTTTTCAACCCTTTTGTCGCTTCTCGAACGACTCTTGATCACATAATGTGACAAAGACTTCATCTACCTTGTGGGTGAATTTTTTCTTTCGTTATCAAGTGTGAAGGTGTTTTTTTTTTTTTTTTTTTTTTAAAGAGACATAAAATTTTCTTTTCTGAGTATAATTTAGCAAAAATTAATCAATTTTGAGTTAGACTCAAATAAAATTTGGATTTTTGAAAATATTTTCAAATTTTGGAAATAATTCTTTGAGAATGACATCAAAATTTTAATTTGAAATTTGTGAATTAGAAGCGTTTTCTCATGTGGAAGCTATTTTAGGAAATTCTAATTAAATTTTGTTTTAGTCAGACGAGACAAAATTTTTGTCATGTCAGTAGTAAAATTTTGTTTTAGTCAGACAGAACCATTTTTTTGTTATTTTGTTTATTTATTTTTTTTTATTTTGAATCCAGTAGCAAAATTAGTTTTAGTCAGACAAAGTGTTTATAACTAGTTTAATTTTAGTTTCAGTAGTAAAAAATAGTTTTGGTCAGACGAAGTGTTCAAAATTCGTTAAATTATGAGTAATGAAAAACGTTTCTTTATTATAAAATCAGTGTTTTCTATTGTACAATAAGTAGTAAAAATGAATTTTAGTCGGAAAAAATATTTTTAAGTACTATTTTTTTAGGTCCAGTAGTAAAAAATAGTTTTGGACAGACGAAGCGTTCTAAATTTGTTTAATTTATTTGTCAATAGTGAAAAATTCAATAATAAGTAGTGAAAACAGATTTTAGACAGAGAAAGCGTTCCTAATTAATTACGTTTAATTGTCAGTAGTGAAAGACTTCAAAATCAGTAGTAAAAACAGATTTTAGTCAGACAAACCATTTTTAACTATTGTTGTTTACTTTCAGTAGTAAAAAATAGTTTTGGTCAGACCAACCGTTTTAAATTTGTTTAATTTAATTGTTAATAGTAATAGATTGAATAATCAGTAGTAAAAACAAATTTTAGTCAGACAAAGCGTTTTAAATTAGATAAATTTAATTTTCAGAAGTGAAATACTTAAGAATAAGTAATAAAAACTGATTTTAGTCAGACAAACCATTTTTAACTATTGTTGTTTACTTTCAGTAGTAAAAAATAGTTTTGGTCAGACCAACCGTTTTAAATTTGTTTAATTTAATTGTTAATAGTAATAGAT